ATTTCATATTCATGTAGAAGCATAACGAACCAAAATGGTGTTAGATATTCAGACAGTACATCATATTTTAAAAAATACAGCAGTTCAAAATGTAAACAAACCGTTTGTTTACATTACGGACTTGACTTCCCCTTTAAACCAAGAGGTCGCATCGCCGTTTGTTTCTAGTACTGATACGAAAGGTACAAAGCTTTATTTTTTTATATTTTGTACTGTTTTGTTTCCTTTTTTCACGATAGTTGATTTATATAGAATATTCTTGTCTAAAGCTTACTTCAATCGTCAAAAGACGAAGGTTCTTAGTTTGGCTTTATTAGTATTTGTATTACGCATTTAATAGTGTATATTCTTGCATACAGAATACGCCCTTTTGGAAAGTTGATTTCACTTTGGCTATAACCTAACGTCAATCACAAAAAGGATGGCCAAGGTGATGTCAGTACTCTAAGTACTTTGTATATATATTGTCTATAACCGTGTATATATATTGTCTTCAATTGTATGATTAGGCGGGATATATGAAACGTTGGATAGTCCACTCGGGCCATTCTGAATATAACACCCCTGAATATTAAGCCCCTAAACCATGTCTAAGCCCGTCGGTTACTTAGCACAGCGACAGCAATTTCAACAGCTCAGACGAGTGACAATAATTAGATTACAGTATTGTAATGTATAGATTATAATTATACGCTGTATGTTTGTATTTCTTTTCATTCACAGTATAGTTGACAAGTACAATAAGACATCATTACTAAACATCATCAATTGCTGTCGGTACATACGCTCCACCCCCCGGTGATTAAACCCTCCCATGTATAAAACCATTGATATTTATGATATAGTTGCATGATTATGCGAGTTTCACTAACGCTGGGCGCACAATTACTACAATTTCAATCCTCCAATAGACACTTCCCAAATTGCTGGCAATGAAAACTACTTTAATATATTTTCCATGGATTACACCGTTTACCTTAAATTCAAGCTATTGTTTTGTGTCAGAAAATTCAGGAAGTTTGTATTTATGGTTTTGGTGTTAAAACAAGATCCAGTCTGTGGTATGATATTAAAATCACTGGGCTTGTTATGCTCATGTGTTTGCATATAACACCTTTTCACAGTTCGTGATGCCATCTTGCCAAGTTCTACCTACTCTTGAAATATTTCAAATGCCTTGGCGAGGAATATCTTATCCTAGTTCACAGTTGATGGAACGTGACCATTTCTGGATAAGAGAAGACTTGATGACCATTCGTAGGGGTCGGCACTAGATCATAGACAAGATACGTACATATCTGAAACTGCAATACATACGAGTCAGCGGTATTCCATCTTTAAAATATTAACTCATATTAACTAAATGTTAACTGACAATCTGAATGTGCCCAAATGTGCCCACTTAGTATTTACTCTGTCTAGTGCCAGACGATTAATTACTCATTAGTGGTAGAGTACTGCCAGTAAATGGGATAAAGTGAATGTTAAATATGAATTAAGTTTGAAATCAGTTGTAATAACCAACTGATTCATTAACCTATTAAGTTGCAAGACTCCCCTTGATGAGCAAAATCATCTAGCCTTAGAAAGAGTAAAGATTTATTGTGTTATCTGCCGCTGTTCATTGAACATTTTACTAAAGATTTGCTGTGTCATCTGCTGCTGTTGGAAGATCCTTTTCCTTGAACATTTTACTAAAAATTTACTGTGTTATTGTACATAATTTCTAGGGAAAATATAAGAAAAATTCAAATGTTGTATTTCCAAAAATATGCACACAGACTTTGAAATTTTAAATTTGTGGACCCAGAGGGAGGGACAGCTTAACCAAGGCATACAAGAGTTAGATGTAATGGGAGGGGGCAACATTTTCTTAGGGGGGGGGGGTCCCCGGCTCTGGCTAGGTTATTGTATAGTATTCCCTAAAGCAATAAAATATTATTAATATTTCTAACTCATAATTATTACTAATTATTAGTTAATATTTATTATTTATGTTGCTCTAATAGTCAATTAGCCAAGCCGGACTGCAAGATTCAAATGCTAATGAGTAATGGCCAATTGCACAAGGCAGATTAAAAGAGTGACTAACAGACTAAACAGTGATGCGACCATAGTTGTGTTTCAAGCTGAATCATGTGGCACTTTAGCACTTGGTGGTTAACTCCAAAACCAGGAAATGCAGTTATTGGATTGAGTTCATTTAACTTCATTATTCATTATATTAATTCACCTTGTATTCAATAGCAAATAGAGAACATTTAACAAAATTTGCTCGCTTCCACAAGGCATATAAAGCGACAAACGTGCAAAGTTGACCACCATGTGTTTTCCTATGAATATATGTCACCAATATTATTAAATACTATGCCACATGTGGGCTATATTTTTCCCTTGGAAAATAAAAACACGTTGGCTACGGTATATTAATAATGTTTATGAGTTAAAATTATTTTAAAATTAACCCCAAATAGGTAACAAAAGTAAATATACATTTCGCTTTGCACATACCTATTTATCTATATACAATTTTTAAATCTCCATTTGTAGTTTGTTTATTTGTAATGCATCATTTGTAATGATGTGTTTATTGCATTTATATAAAGTTTACTGCACTTGAAATACCGCTGACTCCTATGTATTGCAGTTTCAGATATGTAAGTATCTTGTCTATGATCTAGTGCCGACTGCCGACCATTCGTAGGTGGGATTTGGGGACCATTCATAGGGGGATTTGGGACCATTCGTAGGTGCAACTTGGGTACCATTAGTGGGAGGGCCTTGGGAGATTGTTAGCAGGTGGGCGTTGGAAAGTGTTATAGTAGGTTTTGAAATAAGAAATGTCAGCTGTTAAATGACTGTCAGTCTAGTCACTTCAGCTGGCTGTCTAGTCACTTAGAAACCAATTAGTGGTATCTTGACATCAATAAAGCCAGCCCACTATTATGAACGAGCACCCTTAGTTGCTCCATCAATATAGTATATTAACCTCTTATTAACCGAACGCAAGGATTGTACAGAGAAATATCGGACCGAGCCCGTAGGGCGAGGTTTGTACAAAAAGAGGTTAATAAAAAGTTTATTATAATATGGCATTTATACTTGAAACAAACAAGAAATGCATGATTTGAAATGCATATTAGTAGCGTGGTACACATTTGGTCGAAGAAAACAAAAACTACCAATGTGTTCCTTAATTTGCACCAAAATCCATTCGCAAATATGTTATTAATAAGAAATTAAATTATAATTTTCAAATTTTCAATTAGTTTTGCTGTTTTGTTTCAAAATGCATGTGTTTGTTTTTATGTAATGGACCGCAGTGCCGGTGTCCCAGGATTTTCGCCCCCCCCTACATTTTCGCCCCCCCGGGGGCAAAATTCCTAGGAATATGCCCTCCAGGGGGGTGAAAATCCTAAGAATTTTGCGAAAATAATGGACTACTGAAAGTGCTTCTCAGCCAATCACAGTCCACCATTTCAACGGAAGTGATGCCTGCCATATAATAAATGTACATAATGCATAGGAGAGCATTCAAAATAACAGCGGGTCAGGGTTATAATGACCCCCAGTTTCACTTTTGACTCCTGTACAAAACTACAAATCGTTCATCTATGACCCCACAAAATAATCGAGTGATGCTTCTCAGCCTTTCTTCAAGTGCTGATTGGCTCACCTAGAAATATGTATTCTTGCATACAAATACTTACTTATCTTTCTTCTCATTATACAATTTTGTCATTTCACCAAAAATTTTCTTCTGCATATATTCCACATCATGTTTTGCATTCTCCGAAAGAGAGAGGAAAACATACCGAGTGTTTCGAGGCGATCGCTCAAGTAACCGCCTTACTGAGCCCTCTTCAGTCCATAAAGCTCTCAAAAATGCAGAATGCTTGTTAAATGCACAGAATATAATTGGATTAGAATTCTTGCTGTCATTTGATGCCTTCTCTTTGTAAACAAATTTGCCACTTTCAGTTTGAATTACAAAAGAGGGTGCCAAGTCGCCAGGTTTATATTGTGGAAAACAGCAAACACTACGTAGAAATAAAATAATAAATATAAACAGTCGAAATCCTTGCATTTTCCAAATTTCGAGTGGTAACAGTTAGATGTTTATACACCAGTGCATATAAATGACTCGTATAGTGTTCAGCCATCAACTTTGAACAGGTCTTTAATCGGTTTTGATTGTTTAGAACAAACTTATTAGCAGGTTGCTCATACATCATCACCTGCTTTTATCCAAGGATTTCTTGCTAAGTCTCAAACTTTAATTCAAATAATCACAAAAGAAAAACAATACATTACAAACACACGAACGAAGTGAAATTATGACACTGTAAATTGATACGAGTTGCGACAAATTTGGCGCCAATTTTTGGAGAACTGCGGGAAAGTGTCAACAGTGTCAAGTGATAAATATTCACAGTTTTGTTGATAAGTTGATAACAATCATAACAGTATAACGCTGGCTGAAAAAGACAGCATATAAATAAAGGAGAAAGTTTCGTAAGTAAATTATTTTGGTTTTTATGTATTGTAGTCAAATCCAGTCGTGAAATATTGGGAGTGCGAAAATACCTGGAAGTTGATCAATGATCATATGTATTAAATCGATCTTTCGATGATCACCGAAGCATTTACAATTAACATCGACTGTCATTGGAAAATCGATGGCTAGATTATAGAATACCCGTCCATTTCCGATACTGTTTATTTTGGGGGGATACGGTGATACGCAGTGAATGAAATGACGTAATTATTCGAGTGTTTGGGTAAATATTAAGTTTCAATGATACGGGGATACGGTGATACGCAGTGAATGAAATTACGTAATTATTCTAATGTTTCGGTATCAAAATAAACGGGGAATCGTTAATCAAATAATTAATCTATATTTTCAATAATAAAGGGTTATAAATATATTGTATTTCTCGTTCTTAATAAACCCCGCACAAAATATTACTCCTATATATATTTTATTTCTCGTTCTCAATAAACCCCGCACAAAATATTAACCCCGCACAAAATATTACTCCTATATATATTTTATTTCTCGTTCTCAATAAACCCCGCACAAAATATTACTCATATATTGTATTTCTCGTTCTCAATAAATCCCGCACAAAATATTACTCGTATATTGTGTTTCTCATTCTCAATAAACCCCACACAAAATATTACTCATATATTGTATTTCTCGTTCTCAATAAACCCCGCACAAAATATTACTCGTATATTGTAGTTCTCGTTCTCAATAAACCCCGCACAAAATATTACTCATATATTGTATTTCTCGTTCTCAATATACCCCGCACAAAACATTACTCATATATTATATTCCTCACGTTCTCAACTAAACCGCGCACAAAATATTACTCATTAGTATAAATCTCCTTTTAAACTACTCGAATAATTACGTCATTTTAATGACTGCGTATCCCCGTATCCCCGTATCATTGAAAAATAATAGTTACCCATTCTCCTCTTAAACTACTCGAATAATTACGTCATTTTAATGACTGCGTATCCCCGTATCATTGAAAAATGATAGTTACCCATTCTCCTCTTAAACTACTCGAATAATTACTTTATTTTAATGACTGCATATCCCCGTATCCCCGTATCATTGAAAAATAATAGTTACCCATTCTCCTCTTGAACTACTCGAATAATTACGTCATTTTAATGACTGCGTATCCCTGTATCCCGGCGTATCATTGAAAAATAATAGTTACCCATTCTCCTCTTGAACTACTCGAATAATTACGTCATTTTAATGACTGCGTATCCCCGTATCCCCGTATCATTGAAAAATAATAGTTACCCATTCTCCTCTTAAACTAGTCGAATAATTACTTCATTTTAATGACTGCGTATCCCCGTATCATTGAAAAATAATAGTTACCCATTCTCCTCTTAAACTACTCGAATAATTACGTCATTTTAATGACTGCGTATCCCCGTATCCCGGCGTATCATTGAAAAATAATAGTTACCCATTCTCCTCTTAAACTACTCCAATACTTACGTCATTTTAATGACTGCGTATCCCCGTATCCCCGTATCATTGAAAAATAATAGTTACCCATTCTCCTTTTAAACTACTCCAATAATTACGTCATTTTAATGACTGCGTATCCCCGTATCCCCCAAAAGCAAACACTATCAAAATTCAAAAGTGGCCGGGTATTCTATAATCGCTCTTCGATGGCGATGTTGTGTTTAAGTCAGGGCATAAAAGTTTGTCGATCCGTACGGATCGTGCGGTCCGTACGAACTGTAAAATGGCTTTACTGACGTACTTTCCGTACCCAATCTTTCACTCGGTCAAGGCAATAATTAAATACATGATGGCGTCGTATACGGTTTGCCATGTCGAAAATATATTCTTCTTGTCAGATTGTAGATGATTAGAAGTGGTTTTCCCGTTGTGGAATAACTGACGTGTGGCTGTGCGCTAAAACTGTGGACAGAACTATAGTGGCGTTTGTGAATGAGACTATGTTTAAAGGGACGGACCATTTGATTTTTGATGGAGGGGGGGG